CGCCATCAAAGGCTGTCCCTGTGATTACAAGGTGGAACGATACGACATCCAGGTCGACATCCAGTGATGCCCTCGTAAGTCATGAATTCAAGTGGGGGATCTACCACTCCAGGCGAGCTACCCTTACTCCCTAAACTGAGACCGCGGACCGGTCAACTATCGGTAACTGTTGTATTCTGCGTCAAACTCAAGATGTTGGCGGTTGTGATGTCATGCCGTGTGGCGGTTGCGAATGCGGCTTTTCCTCCGGCGTTTCCCCGCAGCATTTTAAGCTGAAACTGGAGGGATACAGAGTGAGTCGCCCTGGCGGCCGCTGACGGGAGTTGCCGGCTTAATTTGTGTAGGCGTTCAGCGAAAATGTGGGTATATGATGATTGTGTGCTCAGTGCTGTATTGTGTAGGATGTGTGATAGGATTTTGTCCTTTTCACTGGCAAACAAACACTCACTCAGTTTCGAAGCATGGGCCCGGAATGACGGGTAACGGCATTCGCTGCGTGGGCGCTTCCTCAACTAAGAAACGGATTTTCGTTGCTGCTAAGGTCATACAACCGCTGCAACAATTGTTCTGTCACTTAAAGTTGATCGTATCTTTCCGAATCCGCGTCTCAAAACTGTGTGGTGCTTTGATAAGGAGGTTGCTTCGTATTACTCTTTTTTTGTTGGTTGGGTTGTCACCGGTTAATTGTTTTCGGTTGACGGTTGGCCATCGGTGTCTCGTCAGGCTTTCAGGAGGAGGAATAGGATAGGCAAAGGTGCATCAAGTGGTCGACTGGGATAGAGAGGTAATAATTCATATTTAGTGCGGCGTTGATTTCCATTGATTCAGCTTTGCACGGGATACAGTTTCGTACTTAAGTTTTTCTGATCTGGTTGGAAGTCTTGTTCCGTTTGATGAAGCCGTTGCCGAAAAGCATCGCGCCGGTACATACGTGCACGAATCTCGCACATACACTGGCTGCTTGACCCAGTGGCTGGTTGGCGCTGATGTAGGAGGTCATGGGTTGGGGGTCGAGGGGGACAAGAACCAGAAGATTCTGGAGGCTTAGGAGGCAAGTTATCAACGCAGATCAGGTCAGCAAATTGCTGTATGTGCCTGGTGTATGTGGGAGTTGTGGGAGGGGAACCAGAGCTTGTGAGCGGATGCCGGCGGATTTGGCAGGTCTTGTTGGGGCTGCACAACCATTACATGTTGCGACGTGGAGATTGTGGTAAAAAAATGAGGGAAAGTGTTGTAAAGG